GTCATCAAACAGCCCTCTGTTCACACTCTCCATGAGTAATGGGGTGGTTGTAGAGAGGGTGGAGGAATTCTCGTACCTCGGGCAGTACGTTCGTGATTCCATCATGTGGGAAGAGGGGGGACTGATGCAGATGGCTTTGGGACACCTCAATCAGGGTCGGGGTCGGGATCGAACCCACAGCCTCCTGTATACCAGGCGAAGTAGTTAACATTTTGCCACCGTGTTTTGCCACGAAGCAAAACATGATTTGCCTCTCCACTCCTTAATCACAATCCACTGATTTTTTTTCCTGGAATTTCTTTGACACATCTCTAACCTTGCCTCGAGAGTAAAGCCTACAACTTGTGCTCTAAATCATATTCTAACTTCTCTGGTGGTATCGGTTTTCCATGCAATTTGTCCCTTGGTTATGCCTATCATGGGGTACCACGGTGGTTCCTCATGCTTTTAAATTGGCTACCGTTATGCCATTACTTAAGAAACCACATCTTGAATCCTGAAAGTCTAGCAAATTATGGGCCAACATTTAATCTACCTTTTTGTCTAAAATTATTGAGCATGTGGTGGCTCAGTCGGGCTTTAAAGCGATGCATAGTACAGAAGCAGCACTTGTTAAAGTTGTACATTATGTATTTATGATTGCCGATTCCGGTGGACGAGCCATCTTGGCCCTTCTCGATCTTAGTGTTGCTTTCGACACTCTGGATCATTTTAATTTGCGAAATCGTCTTGAGACTTCTGTAGGCATCTCAGGTACTGCTCTTTGTTGACTCATGTCATACTTGTCCAAAAGAGAGCAGTTTGTCTCAATGGGTGACTTTATCTGTTAATGGTTTAGTGTCCTCGGGGATTCCTCAAGGCTCGATGTTGTTCAGCCTCTATATGCTACCTCTTGGCCACATGTTTCGTCGTCGTGGCTAAAATATTCACTTTTATGCTGACTACTACTACAGATGTATCTTAAGACTACGACTCATACTAAAGTAGCAGCTTCCATACTTTAACGTTGTCTTGCTGAGGTCAAGTCGTGGATGCACCTAAACTTGAAACAATTCAATTGTGACAAGACAGAGATCATGTTGTTGGGCTCTCCACATCAAGTGCATAAATTGGATGGTTTTAGTTTGGCCATAGACGGGACTGTAATTCGGTGTTTCTCCGAGGTCAGATATTTGGGTGTTATTCTGGACCCCAGTTTGACATGTCAACTTTTGTAATCTTACATCCATTACCAAAATCTCTTGTTTTTTAATTTACGCAACACCGCTCAACTTAGACCCCCATGCTGTCCCTTCCATGATCTTGGTGCATGCCTTTAATTAATCAAGGTTGGATTACTGCAGCAATGCCTTGATTCCTGGCGTCTCTAAAAGTGTTTTCAATAGACTACAATATATATCGAAAACTCAGCTGCGTGGGTTTTAACCAGATCTAAATTGTGACCATATTACTCCTCCTCTTTCCTCCCTGCGCTGGCTTCTTGTAAAGTACAGAATCGACTTTCAGGTTCTTATTCTCACATCTGAGGCCTTGAACGAGCTAGCTGCTAAATATTCCACCGATCCGCTTAAGTTGTATATTCCACTACGTAAACTTAGATCTGCTTATTTCGGTCGACTCATTATTCCAAAGAGTGTTGTTGTTCTGTGGGAGAAGACGGAGCTTTTTGCAGCCAGGCTCCGCGATTGTGGAATTCCCTTCTGTTACACTTTTTTAAAATCTCGTCTTATAACTCACCTGCATTTACACACAGGCTTTCTCGGTTAACATAAACTTCGTCTACTATCATCTCCCAGTGAACCACCACGGCCCTCCTGGCCGCGCGGGGGCAGTGCCAGATCGAGAGGCACGCAACGTGGTCAAAACACTTTGGCAGGCACAACACCTCTGCACAAAAACCGCAGGCACTGCACAGGGGAGACCTCCACGGTCCGTCCTGACACTTTCCCACCATCTGGCCTCGGGTCTTCGTCTTCTTCCCCACCATGGTCGTGGAGACCACTGTCCGATCAATCAATCGATGGCTGTCTCGCAAATCGGCCGATTGTTGACGCATCTCCCGCACAGCGCCACGTGTCCGCGCTGCCAGGGAGCAGCGTAACCACGCGTGGAAAGTCGACACCAGCTGTGCAGAGGGTTCGTCTGCCAACGTGAACAACTTGTGTCGCCTGAACAGGCTTGTGGGGCAAGTGCTGCGAGCGAGCACCCACCAAGGCCAGAGCGGCACACGAGGGAATGGGGTGGCCAAACACCACGCTCGGGCCCAGTGGCGATTTTTTTACACACCGCACCAGGTACTCATTTTGAGGCTGAGTCGACCTAGGGGAGACCCAGGATCGGTTCAAGTGATCGTTACTGGTGTTGGGGAATCTAACTCGGGTAGGCGGGTTTGTGGCGCACCACCGCTCCCCACGATACTCGTGGTTCCACGTCAACATCAGCCACGCGAAGAGGTATTTGTGAAGCATTATCCTCCCTGATATCCCTGAATTATTGTAGAACCAACAAAACATCTGAACACATTCGTCACTAAAACTGCCTTAAATAAAAAAAAAAATATATATACTCTACTGTAATCAGAAATGGTCCTTCCTATAGGACCATTGCCCGAAACGACCGCCCATCTTAATATTTTTCCTTTCACGGCCACAGCGTTACTGACGGAATGTGTTCAGTTTTGTTGTTGTGCTTGTCCATCACCGTCGACGAATGTCGTTCAGTATGACGAAACAATTTGTTCAACCATGAGCGAAATGGTTATGTCTTAGCGCTGAAAGAACACCGTTCTGGACAGCCCAGCGGGCAATTTGCGTGACGGGACTGTCGTCTGATGAAGCTAGTTGTAATTACTGGCGAAACGTCGTACTCGGATTGTAAATGTTGTGGCTTGGCTCTCCAACACACCGGTGTGCTGTACTGGTATACTACACTATACACTACACCATGCACTACGCTATACACTTGTGCTGTACTAGTGACGAACTGGCATGTTCTGTTTACGTGACAACCCTTACGAGTTGGCTGTGTCGGGTGGTGGCGGGTTTCAACGACACATTTATACATTTACGCGATCTAACCCAAAAAAACCTATTATGGACGGGACTGAATGTTGCAATTGCTTGGACACATTGAGTCCAGGACGACAGGCCGTGCCATGCATAAATGACGTCACGCACCTGGGGGGGGGGGGGTCAGACTTTTGTGACGATGTGTGACGAGGGGGGGGGGGAGAAATGTGACGTCACATCAAAATGCGCAACTTTAAATATAGAACGTGACTTTACCGAAAGAGCTAAGAATATGAAATATAGAATTGTTATAACAACACTAATTGTTATAACAGCACTCCTACAACATCAGATTGCAGCGGCACATTAAATACGCACTACAATGACAATAGTTTAAAGTGATTTTAAGCATGTTTTATTTTCAAAATGGAAATATGGTTTGGGGGGGGGGGGCAGAGCGTTGTGACGTCATATTTGAGGGGGGGGGTCTGACTTTTTGTGACGCCGTGACGAGGGGGGGGTCAAAAATCGTCCAAAATCGCGTGACGTCATTTATGGACGACCCCTAATCCACGACACATCTTTGCCAGCGCTCGTCGCGTTTTATTTGCCCGTAATCCTCATCGACAGCACGTGTGTGTGTGTTGTGTGTTTTCCCCCCACTCTAATGAAACGCCTTGTTTCATAGTCTACAAAAAGCCAGGCATAATGGCATTCGACGTGGCTCTTCTAGAACGCGATTGATGGGCGTTGTTGGTGAATGGTAGAAAAGTTTTCAAAATCCAACTTGATCACGCGGTTGGATTCTCTATTCATATGTGCCTGTGCGTTGGTTCTCTATGATATTTATAAGCAATGTGTATGTATACCAGGCTAGTGGACCTGTAAATCATTTTATAAAATAATGATCGAGCCTTTTTACAACTGAACTAGTGCATTTTTTGTGTAAAAAGTCGAGTGAATGTGCGCCAAATGTCATCCAACACGCAGTCCTCCTTTGTTGACGTCCAGTCATCCGGTTTGCGAGCTGTTTCTTTATATTCGAAAAATTATCTGTTTCCTGGGGAACGTCAACTTGCGTCACTATTGAAATCTGCACAGAAAGATGCATAAACTTGCTGACGTGTGAATCAATTATTAACGATTCATGACCACTAGACATTATACGTCGTTACATTTAGGGGAGTAAGAGGAGGAAAAAAGTACAAAGCGGAAATGATAACCAATACAAACACGACGTTGGTAAAAAAAATGAAACAGAACCGATTGTTGAATCCAATTGACCATGAATGATAATACTCTACTGTAACTAACATTCTGAGGCTAAACCAGAGTTCCTCATTTAGTGTGCCCCCTAACACCCAAATGGTGAACACACCCCCCTCGCTGTCTCTCTCTTTGGATTGCACACTCATGGTGCTAATCTCTCATTAACACTGCTGTTGTGCGCATATGCGGGCATGATACTCTTATGCGGCGACGGAAGCTCATTCATGCTAATCTCTCTTCCTAATCCCTCTCTCCATAATCCCCCATTAACACAACTGAGGTGCTTGCGTCCAGGGTTGGAATTCCTTTCCAGCTCAGACCCCGCTTGCTTGCCCATCGCCACATATATAGCCTTGTTGTAACACCCCCAACATCATCATCATCGTGCTGCTGTCAAACCCCCAATGGTTTCAAATGTGTGGCGGCCCTCACACTGATGGTGTCTTATCAGGAAAAGTTCCACCCCCCCCCACCCCCTCTGAAAATGAGTGAAAAACACTCACTGGACTGAACCGTTCTTTGACTGCATGGCGGAGCACAACAATGAAGCATGTGCTCGTGGCCCAATCGAGACCTTTGAACAGCGGCACCGAAGCGAAGTCATCAGCCGACAAACCCTTGGATCACCTTTCTCAACTGTTGTGGTTCATCCACCTCGACCGCGCAACGTACGCACGAACGCCATCACGTCGTACATTTGCACCGACACGGGCAACAATGTGATAAAGTTAAATGTACTTTTATTCGGTATACCACATCTGTACAAGTTCTCATACCTCGATAAAGTGGGAAATTAATACATACCCGCTTGCATATGTGCAAGGTAAATAATCTAAAGCACGTTCCTTCTCTATACCGAGATGCTGCTTTGCCAGCTCTCAATGGAAGTCCCAGATAATGCATTTCAGAAACCTGCAGTACTCTGTGGCGTCGGACAAGCTCATACAAGTTCCAAAGGTTCCATCATGGGGCTATATACAGTGCATGTCAACGTGTGCTTATGCTTCCATACTCAGCCATCAGCAGAAATATAAATTCTGGTACTGTACATTGTGCCAGTGCTGATCTGCAGCATAAGAGTTAAATACTATTATTGCCGTTAAAATCAACGTCAGAAGTAAAAGATAGCAACATTTTAAACAAGTGTTCTGTACAATGTAACCTACTTCAGGAGGTTAAAGAAGGGCTGTACAAGGATTGTTATAGAAATGACCCATCTTCGCACGCACACTGTGATCCAATGCTGTACATATCGTAGTCATCAAATAAGGCTTCACTTTGTATGGATATATTCTATTGCCACGTTAACACAGGCAAACGTACATTCACAAACAATGTTTTTTTCCCCCCCACAACCAAGTTCATGGGCCACATTGCTCTCATCTCAAAAGTTTGCATGTAATCTTATACATATCCTCGTCTTTTCCTTAGGTATATTAGCGAGCACAGTTATGCCGACTACGTCAAAATGCTGTCAGTATAATGCAACGTTGATTAAGTTTAACTCCCTTTGTGTAGTGGAGCCGAGCGTGACTATTATTTTTAAATCGCCTATGGAGTTATTCAGTGTTGTCTACGAAATGGAATGTTGCCAATGTGATTTGACATTACAAAAAATTCCCAGTCTGGATTTAGACGAGTGATGTTATTGCAGTTTATTGCTGCTGCAGTCATGGTTCACGCAATGTTTAGGTAACCGGTTTATGAGCAGTGGCTTTAAGGTATGTGTCAGTACGTTTGAAATTGCATATCTGCTGCTATATATGCTAGGGGACTCTATATTTTACTCGGTTCGAATAAAAGATGTAAGCAGGTCAATCAACGTTGTACTATACATGTACAGCTGTAAAGTTAACAGGTCTTATAGCTGTACACTTTTTTAGAGCATCTATATTACGGTAAAATGTTAGGCGTTATTGAATAAACACCAGGAAATCATATGACTATCATTAAATGCGAGGTCCAGTATGCAAGTGATTAAATTCCTTCTGCATACATGCTGACTTTCGTTTTTAAGGTTGTATGCATTTCATTGTAATCGCATCTGCAGTGAGTATGCATTATTTATGCAGAGGATTTCTTAGCTTCTTATTTTTAATACTGTATTTAGTTTACCTGGACAAGCGTTTTAGAAATATTCTACACACAGTGAGCATAGAATCCAGCACCTACCCTGTGTCCCATCATGCTGTGCGTATGCAGGTGTCGGTACGTATACATCTCAAGTGGTTAGATGCAGAAAACCCAGAACATACACGCGTGGCAGTCTAAACGGAATCACTGACACGTCTATGTAATTACACCTTTAGACCATTGGCTCTCTCCTTGAAGCCGAAGAAGAGTGATTTATGACTTATGCCAAATTAATTTTATAATTGTATTTGCCATTTGAAAGAGCACCCTTTGATGATAAAGGTGTTTTTTTTTGCAGAAATGTAATATATACATTCCCAGATTATATCTTTTTTTTACTCTGCACACGGTTAATCCACCACTGTTGCTTTCAATATAGACTTGCACATGGGAATGACATTCGGATATTAAGTATCAACTACCACGTTTATTTATCCGGAGAGAGTTCAAATGAGGCCATGGTGAACGTTTGCTGCTCGCCCTTTAACTCGTTGAAAGCTTCTCTAAGTGTACATAACATTCTGTTTAAAGCCAATAACAAATGTAAAAACCGCAAAGATTAAACTAGCGGACTTAATCCGTCAGATTACAAAAGTACTAGGACTCTGCACATTTATCTCCAGTTCAAACAACTTCTAATAAAAAACGTCTTATAATTTACCATCATACTGTGCTATAAATTCCAATAAACCTCATTAAATGTATCAGATTGGTATATAGGTGTTCATAAATCTAACTTGTGTAAGCTCTCAGAAAACGAAAAAAAACACTGCTATGCATCTTTCAGTTCCAATATATTGATACCATTAATAAATATGCTGTTCTGAAAAAAACACACTACTGTTTATTAAAAAAATCATACATTTTGCCAACACTATTATATAAAAGGGATAAATGATCCATTTGCAAAAAAGGACACCACTACGTGTTACACAACGGTGCAGCTGTTTCTGAAAGTTATAAGTGCTTATCTTCCAGTCCAGCCTACCAAGAAACACCAATAAACAACCCTGGTTCATGTGTGACGACGCCCAGTGTGACACGTGGGTTGGGGGCGCCGAGGATGGCGAGTGGCTGTGCCTGGAATGGCACATTGAGACGAGCCCAGTTTTGTTTTGCCTGTTCCGCACTCAAGTACAATCGATCAAGTTACAATGGTTTAGCTACTTGAATCTCATTTGGCAGACAATGCGTGTGATGAAACCGAACACTATTTTCCACCACCAATATTAAGCAGCTGCGGGAATTTATCTCCAGTGTTGACAATTAACTGTCCAAACTCTAAAGCGAAGGTTTCTCTTTCGCAAGCATCGTCGGGAGATGCTTTTAGTGACTGCAAGCAGATGGCACGGGTGGGCTAACGTCACTTCATGGGTGCAGGGCTCTATGGAGTGTTGCCAGCCAAATCAACCTCAGCTGGGCATTCAGGCCCAGTGATGACGATGCTACTGAAGCATTGCTTAAAGTACAGGAGGACCTCTTTCGTCAAAGCACTAGAAGATTTTGAAAAATAAATGTACATTTTAAATGCGTATAAAGAAAATCTTATGTTTCATAAAAACTGCTCATCATCAGCTTTAATGATCTGCATATATTCAGATAATTAAAAGGAAAGTTGATATTTGCCAAATTTTGTAAGTTTATTCTGGTGCGGTATTTTAATGGTTCAAGAAATGGAAAGTTTTTTTTTTAAGTTGAATGGATTCACTGGCAAATTGTTCATAAATATATATTAAAAAAACAAATCTTTACAGTGTAATAGAACAATTTCAAGAAATGACACCGGATAACTTTAAATGCTGACGGTCTAAATATTAGTCATTATTTTTTTGCAATTCCTAGCAGTAGTTTCCAAACAGTGATAACTTGAAGGCCTACGTTCACGCGTACTCTCAGTTCTGAGGCAACATCCTTCTTCCTTAACACGTATTGTCGAGCAGGCAAATACGACGTGGAAGCGATGGAAGAAAGGTAAACAACTTCCACGATTTGCACGGATGCATAACTGAAGAAGCATTTTGTTACGGCCACAGCGGGCAGTGTGCTGCGGGTCACTAAGTTTGGCTGCTAAATGCATTCACGGGTTATAAATGTCGCAGTGCTGTGCGTGATTTATTTCACGTCAATGTTGTCATTGTACTTTACTCCCACCGACTTTTCCCTGCAGTGTTGCTTCCTTTTACGAGACATGACACTCTTAATAACCATGCATTCGCGTTGCACAACCTTTAGCAGGACGTTGTTGGAGTACACGTCCGACGAGCATTATCTTCTAAAGGAGTGTTACACTGACCTACCCCGGTATACACAGGCACACAGAGCAATTAAGCTTATTTTTGAGATTTGCGATTGAAGGCAATCGCTGTCCCTCCCACACCAATGCCATTTTACATCAGACCGGTTGCACGTACAAGAAAACCGCCATCGTTTGAGTAATCTTGCTGAACATAATGCAGTGTAATCTGCAAGCCTCTTATCTGAAGGAAAAGCGACATCCTTCCACCCGTCAGTTATCCCCTTTAACGATCCCTTCTCTGATAAAATGCGGATTGAAGGATGAGGGTTATGATTCGCGTCACTTCCTGTTCACTCAACACGGAGCAAGCTGTGATAATGCATGCAGCTTTGAGAATTATTTGATAAAGATTTACAATTATGCAGAGAGAATGCGAAACCTTGTTTCTGTTATTCGCCGACGTCCCATCGTTCTTCGCAAAGAATTGTGTAAACACTACTTCTTGGATGATATTCCGTAACTTATGTATTCTCTATTTTAGTTTGTTTTAGATTATGTAGGTATTCAAGTCCTGTGTTTACTGTGTATTGCTCATTTCCTAATGTTTACCCTGGGGAGACGATGACAACCCCACACGTGGTCCTCCCTGCGGCAAGACGGCCGAAATGGCCTCTTGCTGCTCTGATAATCACGAAGGGCCAAACGTGTTAATGACACGGTCCTTCACAGGACCAAGACATCTGGCCTTGCACTCCGCATGCATCAACTTTACGTTTGAAGGCCTATCCAGTGCGTAAGGTGAGGGCTTGTTCAAATAATGTATTGTTTACCATAACTCTAATAAGCACTAACCATTCTTTCTCTCTCCAATATTCCGTATAGAATGACCCAAGTTGAGCTGCCCCCTGTTGATTTGTTCATAAACCACAAATCATATTCCTGTGTCCATCATCGCTCAGCTAAAGGGGTTTATCAACAAATATTTCAGCGTCAATGGTTCATATTACCAATTCATGAAAACTTTCCATCTAGAGAATACTACACACTCCTTAAATACTTGTTGTATATCTGTGCTATTTCTGATTAAAAGGAAATGTTGATGCAACGTGTAAAAGTTGTTGCTTCAGTGAACTGCTATAATATCCATTAGCATTTCACATCTAATTTTGGTTATTGGCATACTTTAAATGAACTGTACATTATTTACTCCGTTGCATTTCATTGCCAACAAATATGACCAATTATTAACCAGCGGCTGGTCAAATGTACTTGATGTTTCCAATCATAGATCATGCATCTTTATAGATTAGATGAAACCGGTGGGAAAGCAGGAATGTCCATCGTTTCATTAAGTCTATAAGTGTCTTTATATCTAGAAGACGATGCTTGAAATTTATATTACATACGATACAATTCACATAAATACGACAGTCATGGTCAAGAGATTGACTGCATTTCCATTGCATGGAACATACACTTGTCCGTTCTGTAAATTATTCAGTAAATCAAAGTTTAAAAAATATATGCGTAGGCCATGTGAGTATACATAAGAAATGATTTAGCAATGCTGAATAAGGCACAGTGTGAACAAAGACGAAGTCAGAGCTGACTTTCTGGAGCACGTGGTAGCCTCGGGCATCGAATCAACACAGGAGGCCACTACACGGACAAACCGTGAAAACAGTTTAAGGTAAAAGTAAAACAACGATATTGCAAGCATGACTACCATAAGCTCTACTCCACCACTCGGGCCCAACCAACTCTATGATACAACATCTTACGTGCACTTTACGATTCAAACAAAAACCCTGTAAAAAGTAATGCTTTGGAAGAAACACAACGGATCAATGGCTGTACAAATTTTTCTTTCGTATGGTGTTGTTCACTTGACAGCTTAAAATACACGCTGTACAGATATTCAATGCAATATAGATTTTGTCCTGAAAAACACCGATGGACTCAACAGGAGGTTGGCGTCGTTTTTTTAAATGGCATTACAAAGGGCCCCAGAAAACCAGACCCGTGGAGGATAGAATTTGCGGCACGAGGCAGCGTTGACAGAAGGTGGCTGGGACTTGCCGCACCGATACGGTAAATATGCGATGCAGACATCGCCCTGTGCACATCGCCCGTACACCACGAGGCATGCGCACTCATGCCATTATTTTTAGTGCATTGCTACCACGATATCCGTGGACGCAATGCAATAAATTGCCAGTAGGTGGCTCCATTGTGATATATTGAAGCACACGGGTGTTAATAAAAAGGAACAATGCATGCATGATGGTAATTTTGAAATAATGTCACTTTGCATTGAAGCAACATATAAAATAAGAAATGTATAATGCAGCAAGTCACATGTATATATGTTTTCCTGAGATGATTGTCGATTTGGGCTATTTAATGAAAAAAAGAGATGACAGCCAAAAAGGCTATGTTTATTGTTTTTTCTGCATGGGTAAATGCAACATTTTGGGACTGCACACGAGCATTTGATTAATTATGAATGAGGCCGCGGGGCCTATGTTGCACGAGCAACGGCGAAGTACGGTAACTTCATCGGCCCTAGCTGCAGTGACCTCTTTTGCGTTGTTGACCCAGCGCACATGACTCAGGGCAATGCCAAATGTAGAGACAGGAGAGTTGAGTAGTGGGATGAGCGACGTGAGGGAAGTTGTGGTCTCATGTGGCTAAGTTCTTACTGATTGCAACTTGACTTTAGATCGAGTGATGGGTGGCACAACGTCTGGTGAACAATCTCGACCCCAAAGGGAAACACCATTAGAATGTAAACTTAAAACTCAATTTGCAGCAAAATAATTTTGGCATAGTCTCAAATGCATACCTATCGCAGCAATGGGCAGGAAGCAACGCGCACCGTATGTGTGCTGAACTTGTTTCGCACAATGCGTAGCCAACCGTGCTAATCGGAGGTATGGGGGAAGGACAACAAACGCTAGCGGTGTGCGGTTCATCACCGTCCCTGTGCCTTTGTTGCTGATGAAATCAACACGAAGCAGAGCTCCATGACCAAGGCCAAAGATGACCACCTGTGCTTAGGCCTCGACCATAGAACAGACACAAATCAATAGGGACACGAAATAAAATTGAGTGCAAATTGTTCATAGCTATGTCTGAATAAAGTCTACTTTGTGTTCTTAAAGATGGTAGGCTTAATTTGATTAGAAGATAAAGAAGGTAAAATAGACAATTTACATGAAACAGTGTTGTTACATCAACATACATTTCAGAATTGAATGGAGCTCGCACTGATTTATGACATTGTCTGTGCTGGCCTTGAATGCTGACTCTTGTTTCTACGTGGAATAAAAAAAACCCTTTTATTGTCTCATGTCATTGTCAATCGAAGCTCTAAGACCTACAGGGACACACAGCCCAGTCTTGTTTAATCTACCAATTTATTTGTTCAATCATTCAGGTTTTTTGTGGAGGAATTTCCATGACATCAATGCCGCAGTCACGTCTGGAGCCGGTCCCCTGGCGCCGGAAGGCAATAGCCTAATCTGTTTGGTCTGTATTTCTAGAAGCAACGAGGGCATCCCGATCTCACACACGTGTGTCCAAAGCATTTGTGCTTATGCCTATTACTAGCTGTGCTAAGTCGTGCTAGATATCACCCTGTGTATTAAATACCCTAATAAAGCAGGCACACAAACCAAAAGTTTAGTAGTGTCACCCATATGCCCGTGGATGGCAAATTCTGGCAAGTGATGAACCTTGTATTTGAACATTGGCTCTGCCGACACAGATTGCTGTGCCAGACAGGAATGTCCCTCTCCCAACATTTTAATAGCAACTCTCGGCATGTGTTAGTTAACAACTGGTCTGTTTAACTTATCGAACACTGCACTTGATTCCAGTACGATAATTTGTGTTCACTGTCAGAAATATAATACGTTATTACTATTTAGTAGTTACATAATAGTTGTCATGTAAGTTTAAGTTTCATCTCATTCCGTAATCATTCTTTTTTACTGTGGCTATTTGACGAGCTACACTGACGCAACACGTGAAATTATAAAATTGCTTGTATAACGTTTAAACACAACACGACAATGTTGGTAGCTGGCGGTGAGCTTCAGTGCACGCACGTTCTGGAGAGACCTTGGTTCACGTTTCACATAACACCCTAAGCGCACGCGTACGCCACCACCAGCGTAGCACACGTACAAATAGCTGTCAATGAAGCCACACCAGATTCCCGTCACATTAACATTTGAATGTTTGTATTTAACGCCGTCACATATTTTCCGTAACTTAGGAGCTTAGAATCACATGCATCCTACCGGTCTTAACACGTTTGAAATCTACGGATGAATATTCCAAAAAAAAATCGAATTCACGTACAGTATTCGGCATTTGACTTTCTGAACTTTGCAACATTTACACAAATTGAGATGCTTGGTTATATTTGCATTTAGGAATTCAAATATTCGAAGCCAGCACTGGTTATTGCTGATCCCTCATACTTGTGTTCCTGAGTTGTTGGCGCGTGAACCCTCGTCGGTGCTCTGTGTCTGAGCCCGTCACCTCGTTTTGCACCATGGGCAGCGTCGGAGGCTTCCTCCTTCTTCTGGAGTGGAGGTGCGAGGTGTCGCCAGTCAGTCGACTTTCCGTAGCCCGAGTGTCCCCATGAGATGGTTCCAGCCCACTCATTCCTCTGCTCCCTCTACCTCCTCTCTCTCGTGCTGTTAACTTTGCAATGATAATGGATGCATTTTCAAAACGGAGGAAGTCCAATTGGAATGTTTATAATTTTAGGAAGAAGAAGAAAACATCAACAACAAGAAATAGAACACTGAAAAAACACACAAACTTTTCCAATCTTTGCCGAGCGCAAGGTTTTCTTTGACTCTTGTGTCCCGTGGTGCGCGTGCCGAGGGTTGCGCTAGCAGCTGCTGTTGCGGAACTCTCCCGTCTCCGTGATGGAGAGGCGCGGCGGGTTGGCTGCGGCGGGGGACAGGCCGTTACGGCTCTGCATGTGGCAGCGCTCCTTCAGCTGGGTCACGGCGTCCACCAGCCGCCGGTTGGCCATGTTTATCGACATGATTTGCTTGTCCTGCCACGTGACACACGACAACAACAACAACCGCCATTTGCAACTCAGCGGTAGCGACGTCGCCACCACGGCACTTGCGTGAGGCTAGGTGTAATATGTGCACGCGTACGGCGCGAAAGAAGTTCAACATACAATACACACGGGTCGCTGCGGAAAGTGCTGTAACCGAACCACCGATGAATGTCGGCACAGTTTACGAGGCAGCGGCGTGGCCAGCACCACGACAAACCGCCTTTGTCTCCCCACTGCTCATGTTTACACATGACACCGGGTACTCATTTAAGGCTGAGACGACCCTAGGGAAGGCACAGGGCCAGTAATAGTGGTTAGCGCACTGCGCTATGAAACCCGGATGCATACGTTTGATTTTCGCAGATGGCTAACAGTTCTAATTATGTGAACCATGCGCACACAACACACACATATACATTCACAGATAATAAAGACTACCCCCACATTATAGATTACAGGGTTCCATGCTGCTAGGCAACACCGATTAAAACTGACAATTTGCTGTACTTAATGGATATACTAGAGCATGTTACTTAATTTATGCCAAGTCAACCTACAGGAAGCCCAGAATAAGTTGAGATGCCAATGAATATTCAGGTTGCGCCTGGGTTAAAGACCCTAAACTAGGGTTGCAGTGTATCGCATTCACTACTACACGGACATATATACAACGATCCAGCGAAGCTGGTCCATTCAGCCAGGGTATATTCAATTTGAATGCTAAACAGACCAAAATGAATTAAATTCAGAGTCTCTATGCCTACAGCACGAATGCTCAAACCCAATAATTATGTGTATGGCTCAGAACTTCTGACACGGCCCTCAAGAAATGTTGCATGTTTAGTCTGGCTCTATGATCCTTGGTCATAATGAAACCTAAGACTGCCTCAAATTTTGACTTAAGAACTGCCTCACTTTAATATTACCATGGGGCTTTGTGTGTCTCATGGCAGCTCTCCCGATGCACTGCGATTTAGCAATGCGTGCCTCCAGCAGTCTCATGATATTAGCTTGACAACACACCCACTATGGGCAAGTGGTGCATTCCCAGCGGGCAACTGAAAAACACAGCCATTGGCAAATCCACCATGCAACTGCAATGAAAGTGAAATGTGTAATACGTGGAACGGTTCATAATCTCTGTGAAAAGGATGAAATTATAAAATAACTTGGTATTAAACATACTTTTATCGATAACAGGAATAACTGTAACCATGGCCATCATCGGTGGTTTACTAGGAACTTGCAAACAGCACTTGCGTTGCCACTGTGTGTGCAGCCAACGCTGTGAGGATACGAGAAGCAATAACGCAGGCTCTGTCTGAAAGCCCACACAGCAACCTCACTCCGAGCGGGCTGCCTCAGGCGTACACAAGAATGGCGGCGTCCGTACTGTGCAAGCGTTCCCATGTGGTGCTGCCACCTAAAAAATGCTCCCTGGGGTAGGGCGTACAGTACCTCCATACACCGCTGCTTGTTTTCCAAGTCTGCTTGCACATCGGCACAGTCTCGCTTCAGCCGGTCTTCTACCACCATCAGCCTAGGTTAGCACACCACCACGCCAAGAGCCCACATTAAAGTGCGCGCGCGCGCGCGTGCGTGTGGTGTGCATGAGGACGAGTGGGAGTGGTGGTGCAGCGATTAGCGCACCGCACTACGAACCCGGCGACACAAGTTTGATTCCCACTCGGGGACAATGCTGGTGACAATTATCTGAACCGGTCGTCGGCCTCCCCTAGGTCGGCTGAGCCTCAAATGAGTACTGGCTGCAGTGTGGAAGCATCACTACTGGGGAGACAAATGTGCTTTTGGGTGTGGTGCTAGCCACCCACCACCTGGTGTACCATTCTAACCTTCAACGGTGCCCGGTAACAGCACTTGCCCCAACAGTCTGTTATAAGGCTATACGAGGGGATCTTTGTATTTGCATGGGGGTGAGCTCGTAAAGGTAAACCAGTGTGCATGAGTGTCAATATATAGGTGCGCACACAAGTGTTTTATAGATGTACTGGATGCAAACAACGTGTACGATTGTGGGTGTCCCTGCATATGTGCCTGGGTGTACAGTGAGGGAAAAAAATATTTGATTCCCTGCTGATTTTGTACGTTTGCCTACTGACAAAGAAATGATGAGTCTATAATTTTAATGGTAGGTTTATTTGAACAGTGAGAGAGAATAACGAAAAAATCCAGAAAAAGCATATCAAAAATGTTATAAATTGATTTGCATTTTAATGAGGGAAATAAGTATTTGACCCCTCTGCAAAACCTGACTTAGTACTTGGTGGCAAAACCCTTGTTGGCAATCACAGAGGTCAGACATTTCTTGTAGTTAGCCACCAGGTTTGCACACATCCCAGGAGGAATTTTGTCCCACTCCTCTTTGCAGATCTTCTCCAAGTCATTAAGGTTTCGAGGCTGACGTTTGGCAACTCGAACCTTCAGCTCCCTCCACAGATTTTCTATGGGATTAAGGTCTGGAGACTGGCTAGGCCACTCCAGGACCTTAATGTGCTTCTTCTTGAGCCACTCCTTTGTTGCCTGGAATACCCATCCACGACCCATTTTCAATGCCCTGGCTGAGGGAAGGAGGTTCTCACTCAAGATTTGACGGTACATGGCCCCGTCCATCATCCCTTTGATGCGGTGAAGTTGTCTTGTCCCCTTAGCAGAAAAACACCCCCAAAGGAAAATGTTTCCACCTCCATGTTTGACGGTGGGGATTGTGTTCTTGGGGTCATAGGCAGAATTCCTCCTCCTCCAAACAAGGCGAGTTGAGTTGATGCCAAAGAGCTCCATTTTGGTCTCATCTGACCACAACACTTTCACTCAGTTGCACTCTGAATCATTCAGATGTTCACTGGCAAACTTCAGACGGGCATGTATATGTGCTTTCTTAAGCAGGGGGACCTTGCGGGCACTGCAGGATTTCAGTCCTTCACGGCGTAGTGTGTTACCAATTGTTTTATTGGTGACTATGGTCCCAGTTGCCTTGAGATCATTGACAAGATCCTCCCGTGTAGTTCTGGGATGATTCCTCACCGTTCTCATGATCATTGCAACTCCACGAGGTGAGATCTTGCATGGAGCCCCAGGCCGAGGGAGATTGACAGTTCTTTTGTGTTTCTTACATTTGCGAATAATCGCACCAACTGTTGTCACCTTCTCACCAAGCTGCTTGGCAATGGTCTTGCAGCCCATTCCAGCCTTGTGTAGGTCTACAATCTTGTCCCTGACATCCTTGGAGAGCTCTTTGGTCTTGGCCATGGTGGAGAGTTTGGAATCTGATTGATTGCTTCTGTGGACAGGTGTCTTTTATACAGGTAACAAGCTGAGATTAGGAGCACTCCCTTTAAGAGTGTGCTCCTAATCTCAGCTCGTTACCTGTATAAAAGACACCTGGGAGCCAGAAATCTTTCTGATTGAGAGGGGGTCAAATACTTATTTCCCTCATTAAAATGCAAATCAATTTGCAACATTTTGACATGCGTTTTTCTGGATTTTGTTGTTGTTATTCTGTCTCTCACTGTTCAAATAAACCTACCATAAAAATTATAGACTGATCATTTCTTTGTCAGTGGGCAAACGTACAAAATCAGCAGGAGATCAAATACTTCTTTCCCTCACTGTATATGTGTGGACACACTTGCCAGTGAGAGCTTGTGGTACATACTGCAAGATGAGTAGCATTTGCAAAGTAAAATGTTGTGCCCGAATTAATTAATTAATTAATCCCCTCGCGCATTCAACTTTACAATTATGGACGCGGAATGAAATTATTTCAAAATTGCTCGCTCGTATAACATTAATTACCCTCTCGGGTAATTCTGAATTCAGTCGTGAGTACGTAAACAAACACGATAAGAGAGTCATGCATCATCTGGGCCAATTGTTCACGAGGAACTTTGTTACGTTGCCACGACACGAACGCAATCGTGAAAGTTCATCTGAGACATCAGCTTCACTTGACAAGCAAAATGTGGCACGTAACCCAGCGACTTGATGTTTTTGTTGGAAAAAAGATAACTGAATGTGTATTTCAGAGTTTGAAAATGAATGTCACACAATGTCAAGGAGACAACAAAAAACTCTAATGCATAATATTTAACATTCAAATGTAGAGGAATACATGAATATTGATAACTGTCCACAAGTTGTCCAAGAAATCGTTTCTCTAAACTTTGTTTTTGGATGGTCCTACAATAAGGTGATTGGTCAAGTGCTTTAACTTAGTTTTGATGTGTAGTGTGTGGGCAAAAATTGGAGTACCCAGAGAACACCCGGCCACAAGAGGAGATGGCACTCAAGAATCTGGATGTGGATATAGTGGCCTCATAAAACAGCCTAAAATCTACATTTGAACCGACATTTGTCTTCCAACTGCTTTGACATCGCAAGAACTGTTTTTTTACGCACCGTCACCACCACCACCCCGCAAGATTTTCTGACCGGGGGTTGCGAATTGCGGGAAAGTAAATAATGATTGCGAAAATTGTAATAAAAATATTTTATACCGCGCACCACCAGTGTACCGCCAATACTTCACTTAAAGCTTTCGTGACTGCACGAATTCATAGTCTTTGGGTCTTTCGGTAAAAGTCACGTAGATAGGTTCAAAGAAAATAACACAAAACTACGACGTTTCGATCGCAACACAAGCGGTCGTCACCAGGATCGAAACGTCGTCGTTTTTTCTTATTTTCTTTGAACCTATCAACGTGACTTTACCGAAAGACCCAAAAGAATACCGCCAATACGTTAATATCCAGTCTACCTACTGTATCACCAGGCTGCGAGTGGTATGACACACGAGGGAAACCGCATGGTTCAACAACTCTGCCTGGCTCAACAACTCCACGCGCCGTCGTGTGCCAACAACAGCCGAATTTTCACGTCGGTGTGCTGACTTTCGTAAAGGCCCTGCTCTGATCGAGGGCTTCCTCCCCAAGTCTGCGCAGGTTGCTGGGGTTGTTTTGGCCATACGCTGGTCAATGCGGATCGACGAAGGCGGTGGAAACAGACTTGGCAGCACAGGAGCAGAGTAGAACATTGGATTTTGCTTCACTGCCCTTTTAATACCCTAAACAATGGCTTAAATCGAGCAGGGATCAATTGTATTATTTCTGAACACAGAAAAGGCAGTTTAAGTACATATGCTCAACAACCCTGTACAGCGAAAGTAATATTTGGTTGGGGTTTTATCAAACATCCATTGTATTTTATGTGACACATATGACACATGCATATATGGGCATTCCTATTACTGCTAGTGCCATTTATATTCAAGTCACAAAGCTCAATAATCCCGGAAAATGTTACCGTTTATTTTAAAATTAAATTTTAAGTGAATTGCGGTGAAAGAAGTATTGCTCATCTCATTCGGCAACCTTGGAGGCAGCGGAAGAAAATTCAACATTGCTACGACAGGGCCCAGACTCAACTCTCGGCATTCCCCACAGAGCGGTGCTCGTGCGATGAAGGACCGGCTGAGTCGACCCCAGACGTGTTGGCGAGTCGAGCAACCCGCCCCGGTGCCCCCCCCTTGGGGGCTACATGCCACCCGTGCACCGGCAGGAACACAAGACGTGGGCGTGAGGGGCGACGGTCACCTGCCGATGATGGCCCTCATCTGCGAGTCCTTCTCGTCCTGCTGGCGCCGCAGCCGCTCCTCGCTCTCCTCCAGACGACTCTGGTACTCCTGCTGCATGCGCCGCATCTGGTCCTCCTGCCGCCGCAGGCGCCGCTCGTACTCCTCGAGACGCCGGCTTGCGCTCACCAGCCGGTCGGTCAGGCGCCCTATCTCCTGTTCGTACTGCGCGCCCGGCCATGCGCACACACACGCACGATACGATGCATCGCGTGGCACGAGTAGGCATGGCAGAGATGCACACGTATGCCTCTTTTAGCATAAGCGAACGTTTCTGTGTCTTTTCATAAAAAAAGCCTTTCAGGATAATGTAAAAAAAAATACTCAACAAATAGTGCACATTCACTCGATGAGTGATGAATAGCAATTGTGAAATTTGTAGCAAGCTATTCTCCAATTTCAGTTAGCTTTTCCTATTCAGCATGTAAACACTTGTAGACCCATATTCTCTCGGAAGACACATGCACAGATACTAGGGTGCATGGTCGAGTTTTCGTCTGATCTAATTACCGTACGTCAAGTTAAACCCCATCCAATCAGAATCAAAATGTATTGTGTCCTTATCTGATCTGATTAACAGCTGCATCCAATTTGTATTGACTTCTTTAGTTAGAATTCTATTCCTCATACAGTTATGAATCTTGCAATAAACTAGGACACAAACTTGTAAACGTTTTATACAATACACTTTTTTTAAAGTGGTCATTGCCACCCAGTGCTCTGTAGCTCAGTAGATTGTGCCCCCAGCCTCAGAGATGCTGTCACATTTAGATGATTTATCAATCCAAATGGGATCATTGCATCGTAATCTGATATTTTTGGTTTGATAACTGAGATGAGACAAAACAAGGGAAGTATTTAACAATATTCATTGTGTGTTTTTCCAGAAAACGTAATTGTTAAAACTTAGGTGTTAAAAAGCGTGATTATTATTGTTTAATATTATAACATTTTACATACAGTCAGCAAGAGCTTAAAACGTAAAACAATTCAGTCCAAGTTGAGGCCACTGAACCCAATGAGCTACAGTGACAGACACTGTTTTTAACCTACAGAGGCCAGGAGGTCATCACGGCCAAAACCTCGCCTTTTGCTCGACAGCTCAGCTGTTGAACAGCTGAGAGGGATATTTTAAACGGATTCCTCGTGGTGCTTGCTGGGTACCTTCTCGCTGGATTCCCGGCTCTCGCGCAGCTGCTCCAGCTTGTCGGCATCGTCCTCCAGGTTGAGCATGTTGATGAGCCAAGCGGCCGTGCGTTCGTCGGGGGACAGGGCTCCGTCGAGTGACTACAGCAGCAACAACAAAAACACGGACGCAGTGATTTCCTGCTCGAATGAGCGTCGTAGAATGAGCACTGGTGCTCATCTTCCCGTGTACAACCCAGGGCCAGTGGTGGAAATCCCACATTGCTATGGTCGGTGGTGGGTCTATTCATAGGACAAACGTCGTTGACTTCCCCATAAAGTGGGAGATATGGTTGATCACCGACGGGATGGTCAACAATAGGCGCCACAGTGGCGAGATGTTAACTACCTTGCCTTGAATACCGGAGGTCATGGGTTTGATCTCGACCCTAACGCCTGTATATTTGTAGTTTGCATGTATCTCTCCGTGGTCACGTGGATTTTTCTCCGAGTCCTCCAGATTTTTTGGCTGCAATGAACTTCCACGTGATAATCCACCTCGTTGAGCTATCATTTGTGAAAGCCAGGTTGCTTCTGAAAAAGAACTACAGGATAAAGCTCAGTGGGGCCTTACCTGAGTCAACTCCTAACCAGAATGTGAACTTGCAACGTTCGCATTGCGAGTCGCTCATTCTGCCGCTGAGCCGCAAATGTCAAGTGGCTGGGAAGAGAATCTACAGAATTGCGTGCAAACGGAGCTTCACTCAGACACACACACACAGATTCCCCGTTTGTCCCTATACATTGTCAAGGCACGTGCTGTTTTCAAATAAAATGAAAATAAATAACTTCAACCCATTCGCTGGATGAAGGCCTCCCCCCACACCACGTGAGTAATGTGTGTGTGTACCGTACTCTATCATGCTAGTCAGGAGTGGTTGGTGAAGGGGGGAGGGGGAGGTCTGGTTCTGATATCACCTGCCAGTGATAGCAATGGTCGTGAGTCGAACTTGGACCACAGTGCAGCATGCTAACTGCCGCTCCACTCCTTGCTTTCACAAATCAAGTCATATTCACAAACCCTTGCCTCTACCTTTGTCTCCCCCAATTCCAATGTTCATACACCAGACTATGTGCTCATTTTTGCTCAGTAATCCTAATGAACGTGCATCCAAGTTCAAGATGCCCCATATAGCGATAATAGACTGTTAGTGCAAGTGCTGTTAGCGAGCACCTATGAAGGCCGGCACGGCACACGATGGTTAGCCAGCACCACCCCCGACCGCCTTTGTCTCCCTCGTGGCGATGTCCACACATCGCACCAGGTACTCAATTGAGGCTGAGTCGACCTAGGGGAGGCCCAGGACCGATTCAGATATATGTCACTTGGGTCGCCAGGTTCCTAACGCAGAGCGCTAACCACTGCACTAGCGCTCCCCAAGGTGTGGCTCACACACGCACAGACACACAGCCCTCGCCACCACTACCACCAATGGTTGTAAAACAAGCAAGGCATCAATAACTGTCAGGCCAACGATGCTGAATGTAGGGCGCACAGCAGGTTTAAATGAGTGGGACAGAAGAGGTGAGGGTTTGGTGCTCAAGGCCAGGCCACAAGGATCGGGCAAATTTGTAAAATGCCGTAGGGCTGAAATAACAGCGGGTGGCTCACCCAGAGTGCCATGGATACAGGCGCATTTATAACACGACGAGCTCCTGTGAATATATCACTGCCCGGTGCAACACACACACACCGTGCATTGTGCTACTGACACAGTCACATACTAATTGTTCGGCCTGTTAGTTACGCATTCATGTTTAAATACCCAGAATCTTTACGTACATTCTTTTTATTTTTTACAATATTGCTCATAAGGCAATGGTTACAAGTGTATTTTATTAATTACGTTGATGAATTAAAGCATTTGAAAAATCTTACATTCTTAACTGTACAAACTTCTTTTCAGAATTTATATTCGTGTGAATGCCACATGAATGTCCGTGCAGCAGAAGAGCTATGTATACCAATACCTCCCATTCGACGTCCCCAATAGCCTTCACGTGCCATTCTCCTCGAGCAACTGGGAGCTATTTCACACTTGACTCCAGACCTAATGAATTAGAGCAGGAACCAGAGCCGCCGCCGCCGCCATCATCATCATCATCCCTCACCTGCTGCGCACGCATGGCTGCCTGCGCCTCCGTGTCTCGCTCCCTCTGGGACGCCGCCGAGTGCTGGCGAGAGGGCCCACCGCCACCCACCGGCATCGCGTCCGCGCCCGGCATCAAACCGGGGTTGTTGTTGTTGTTGCCGGCGCCCGACTGCTGCCCTCCCATCGACAGGTTGAGCTGCATGGTCTTTCTGCGCGCCCCGTTGCCCGCCTGGTCCCACCACAGGTGCCCCCCCCCACCTTGCTGCTTGGGCATGCCCGCATCCTGCTGCATGCCCACGCTGTTTTGCCTCGTCGGGCCTCCCAGCTCCGTTTGCTGCGCTCCGCTGTTTTGCCTCGGCGTGAGCCGCCCCCCCTGGTCCGTCGGCTTGGACGTGCTGTTTTGCCTCGGGGTCAGCATGCCCCCTTGGTCCATCCAAGCGGTGTGCCCCACGCTGTTCTGTCTGGGCACCGCCAGGTCACCCTGCATGCCCAAACTGCTCTGCCTGGGCAAAACAAAGTCGGAATGCATTCCGACGCTGTTCTGCCTCGACGATGCGAAATCGGGGTGCAGCCCCACGCTATTCTGTCGCGACCCAGCAAAATCGGGCTGCAAGCAAGCACTGTTCTGCCTCGCGGAACTAAAATCACCGTGGAATCCCACGCTGTTATGCCTCGGCGGTATATAATCTGGATGTAACCCCATACTTTCTTGCCGCGACATGGGATAGTCCGTCTGCAGTGCGGCGCTGTTCTGTCTGGGCACACCATATTCCTGCAGCAATCCTGCACTGTTCTGCCTTGGCACGCCGTAATCTGGCTGTAAGCTGCTCTGTCGCGGCAACCCATATTCGGCATGCAGCCCGACACTGTTTTGCCTGGAAGAGACGTAATCTGGCTGCATCGAAGTGCTGCCCTGTCTCGGCAAGCCGTACTCCGGCTGCAGCTCGGCGCTGTTCTGTCTGGGCACGCCAAAGCCAGGCTGCACAGCCAGCGTGTTCTGCCTAGAGGACGCCCTCTCTCCCTGCTGCTCCACCCACAGGTGCCCGCTGCCACCACCGCCACCGGCGCCGCTGTTTTGGCGGTGCGCATTGAAGACGGTGAGCGCCGCCCCGTGCTGCTTGCTCAGCTCGTCGCTGCTGCTGTGGCTGTGCAGGCTGTGCTTGCACACGTGCTCGCCGCTGGGGCTGCGGGAGCTCAGCGAGCTCAGGTACTCCGAGCCCGAGTCCCGCTTTCGCTGTGGCGGCGGGCTGTCGCTGCCGAACTGGTACATGGGGTTGTGGAAGGACAGCGGCTGCAATCGGCTCGGGGGCAGGTCGAGGGATCGGCTGCCGCTGATCAGCATCGGTCGCTGGGGCAGGACGCCGGTGGGGCCTCCCGGGGACAGGAAGTTCTGCTGCGACGGGACGCCGACGGTCGCCGCCTGCTTGGGGAATCTCTGCTGCTCCTGCTTCGCGGTCGCGCCGAAGCCGGCGTGCGCGGGCTGCGGGCTGCTCTGGCCCGAGGCGGGATAGCGGGGGTGCTCCTGCGTGCTTGTCTGGCTGCCGCTCTGCGCGATGCGAGGCCGCTTGGCGTTGGAGAGGTGCCCTATGGAGTACTGGCTTCCCGACGACTGCTCCAGCAGGTTGGTGTGGCTGCCGCAGCTCTGCACCGTGGGCAGCTCGAGCATGGAGCCGCTGTTGCGTCCCCTCCACGGGGAGGGCTCGTGCTCCTCCGCGTCCCTCTCCGTGTAGCTGAGGCTGCGAGCGGGGCCGCCCTGCGCCGCCGCCCCCCCCGCTTTGGTGAGGAAGTACATCTCCTCGTTTGAGTGGGTGGGTGTGGGCAGCCTCGTCACTGCATCGGCACTGCCAGGACACAACACAGCAGCCGGACAGGTGACTTGTCGTACAGGTAGGTGGAATCATTGGTGATAAGGCGATAAGTAACAACACAATATCCATGATGCAGACTTTATGAAAACAGCAGTCCTTATTTCCAACATATCTTTTCACAGAGGCTGAGTTTAAGTAGCTTTAACCATACATAATTAAACATAACCACACAAAAACAATATGAAATTTGATTCCATATATATGCCTTCTGAACCAATGTTTTCCAGCAGCGTTGCATTACTCCGGAAACTCTAGACAGGTATTGACTTTGGAGCCTACTGAGCTGAGCCAGACCTGTTACTATCATGCTGCTGGGCCCCCAGATCCTAGAGGCTAGAGCTCTTCACCAGCACCGTGGCGCTCATTCAATCAATCAATAAAACTTCACTTCTTTAAATGAAGTTTAATTAAACATGAATTGTTATCCTCCAATTAAACTTCAAAACCATGCAATTAAAATAGTACCATATTTTCCCGCATATAACCCGCCGGGTATACCACTTTTTACAAACATAACAAGACCCTGCAGGGTATATGGAGGTGCGGGCTATCCCAAAAAATAGTATACACGTGTGCCATGTCATAAGTCGTTTAATTTTTTCATGGTAGGACTATCCACTATGCAACACTTACCTTTGACTAAAGCACTGCTGAATAAACCACTCACACTAAAATTGCACATGCTATCACGTTTTAAATTATTCGAATTGTTTGTACAATGAAACGAGAATGTTTGAAGTGGGCGCACTTTGTTTACCGGCGATGGGAGAGCGAGGGGGAGAGAGAGGTGGGGGGGTTGGGGGCAAGGCAATGGTGTTACCGTAGTGCCGCTATTGTCTGCACAGTGCGCAATCTACCAGTGCTAAAACTGTACTTATCTACCAGTTATGTGTTACTTATTTATTGGATATTTACTTTAGTTACTTATTTACTGTTTTAAGTTCACTCGTTTCCGGTTAGTTTGTTTTCTTTGTGCACGTTATGATTGTAATATTAACAATTGATAGTGGAATGTATTACAAATGTAAACGTCGTAATAATATGATGGAATCAAGCTGCGGTAACGACGTTAAAAATATGAATGCATGCGGGGTATATGGAGGTGCGGGCTATCTGAAATTTGTTTTACACAAAACGCTATTTTTGCGGGGTATATGCGTCTGCGGGTTATATGCGTATGCGGGCTATATGTGGGCAAATACGGTAATTATGTTGACCTACACCAACACACTGTGGAGAATTTTGTTTTTCAGTGCAAAACTGTAAAATTGTGAAAAAAAATTTGGGTGATTTTGTGGAGGATTATGAGTTATTAAATTGCTCTATAGATAGCCGCAAGGCCCACGCTTGCCGCAGGTCATGGTGGTGTGCTTTGGACATGATTGCTTTTCAAGCCAGTTGGCTTCACCCAAATTTCTACAGACTTCAAATAATTTATTTATGGTCAGGCCACCCTGTGCATGTTTGTCAGCCGTCGCTGCATCATCATCACCATAATCATACATAATCGTCAGGAACTGTGTAAACCGGCAGCGATAAAGCATCGACTTGAGTTGTTATCAAAAAACAGGGCTGTCGTTCACAACAAGAAGATGATAATCCATGAACATGTTCACGTCGGTCATGATAAGGTCCAGGCGTTCACGTGTCTTCTTGTTCAAATGTGCGTCGTGCGGTGCTCATCTACAAATGGGACATCTGGACGAGCGGTGGAAGTCCCACAACTTGTTCTGAGATCAAAATCCGTTGACTTCCTACGTAGCGGTAATATATTCTGTTACCGTTACTAAACACTGTTGCTGCCCTGGGTCAATCCACTGCTGGATGAAGGCCTCCCCATGTCATGTCACTCTTCAGGTTTTTTGTACCATACTTTACACTGGTAGTGAAAGGGGGGGGGGGGTTCATTCAGATATCAAATAAACTAATGTCAAACACATTTTTTTGCCATAAAACCAAAGTAACATTTAATTTTGATAGCAGTTGTCATCATAAAGATGCAATTGTAGCACTGAAGAATGGTTTATCTCATTGCCAAATACATAGCAGTGTTTGGTAAGCATGGCAGTGGACAACTTGCCTTTGTTACTGCAAGAGAATTTAAATTTCGCACTGGCGATTAAAGCGCCAGAAATTTTGATGTAAAGCTTTCGTGACTGCAGGGATACATATTCTTGGTTCTTTCGGTAAAGTCACGTGACTTTACCGAAAGAACCAAGAATAAAAAGCGCCAGAGTTGTGGTAACATCCGAGAGTTCACATCCCCGGCCAGGATTGACTCAGACCATCGGCATCGTCCCTCCAACATGGTCAGCAAGATGTGCATCACCTGGTGAGGCTGCACATTCTGGAAAGGAAGTGGACACTGTGGTTGTCATGTGGACAGGCGAATCCCCTGCCATAGCAATGTGGAACTCCAACTATTGACTCCGTAAGATAAAAGTAAACGTTTGAACTTTGCGAGGAGACTCTGAGCTTTGTAAACTTGCGGAATAAATGTTTGAGGAGGGCATTTAAGAGACTTGCGTGAATCAGTGATTTAGACGATTAAGTGTAACATGTTCCTTCAATCAGACACGCACTTTTAACAGAAAAGCATTTTACAACATAACCGAAATTAATTTCTTGCAAACGTAAAGTATAGCCTGGGGTTTACGACCAGTGCATCCCTAATATGTTAGTATTAATGCAAAATATTTTTGCCAAGTTGCACATTCAGTTATATACTTTAAAAACTAATTAAAATAAGTCTTTGTGTACCAGAGCTTTTGGAAATAGGCTGCTGTGATAAGAAAGTTTACATCATGCAATTTTATTGTAAGGGCAGAGATACTGCATTATTACTGCCACTCTCTTTGCTTGCAAGCTGGAATCACGTTGTGACTTGTTCATGATATTGTAGGGTCAAGAGCCTCACTCTCAACTAGTAGATTCTGGTACGTAAATATAACCGTAAAATGTCAGTTTAAAACAAAAGCCTTCTTTGGTAAAGGACACTGCAGGCGTAATTCAATGTGTAGACAGGTAACATAAATTACAGTCACTCGTAATATTGGAATACAACCAATTCAAAGCTGGCGGTACTTTTGAAATCGGAAAGGTTAAAAGATCTCATCCCAATTCAGTGGCTGACTCGGCTCTTAACCCCTCCTAGGTCAGAACATAAAGAATACGGTGGGGAGAGCCAGCAGTGCTCATCCTAGGTGATGACCTGCTCCTGCCAGACGGATGTGCATATCCGCCATTGGCTCAGGGGTTGTGGAGAGTAGAAAAGTGATATCGTTTCCTGCTCCGAATGGGAAAGCACTTTTAAAAAATCAAATCCATTTCCTAGCGCGGAGGAGGGTTTTACGGTCATGGTGTACAGCTGTTTAATGTACCGCGGCGCTGTGCGGTATAATGTCCGACGTTTCGCTTTACATCCTGGGAAGCTTCTTGATGCCCGACATTTCGCTCCACGAGCGGCTGGACAGCTCCCCGACAAAAAGCTCCTCAAAAGCAACGCGGTGAAATTCGGACGACCGTGCCGAACAAGACACGGGCATACAAGCCAAAGCCACCTCACAGATGATTGGACTCATTGGCTGCTAGACTTCTGAAAACTACCCGGGTGTGACGGGTAGTCTAAATCAAGATTCTGATTCCGATCCTCTCTGCTCCTTTATCCACAGAAAAATGTCTCCGCCCCCCACCCACAGGCCCAACCGTTGCGTTTGCTCGGGGCGTACGTACACGGGCAGGCCGAGCTTGTCGGAGGAGCGCTGCTGAATGCCGTTGCTGCGCCGCGCTGCGCTCCGCCGGTTCACTTGCTGCAAGGGCTGAGGCCTGTTCATCAAGGCCTCGTTGATCTCGCGCAGGATGCGCGGCAGCGGCTCCAGCTGGGCCTTGGCAGCATGCGCCGCCGGGTTCTCTCCCTGCAGCGCGCACGGCGAGGGGACAGCCGTGAGGACGCGTGCAAGTACACGTTTTGCGCATCAGCAAGAGGCGATGAGAGGTGTGTGTGCACGCGTGTGTGTTTATTTGCCACGAAGTATCAAGGTATCCATTGGGATCTCTTGCAGAGCTGTGCTTCCTTCATGTTAAGAGAACTGCCCATGAAAGAAGATATCAGAGATGTTCACGTGATCTTTTTGTTTACTCGGTAGGAGAAAGCATTTTCCCATCCACTCTGTATATGAGAGTGAACTGATATTTAATTATTAGAGATGGAATTAAGCAAAAGGTAGAGCAGAATAAAACTGGATATGATCGTTTATTTTCGCATTCACTGTTGGTCAGGCTGAGACCATAAACTCACTACGCTTGAGAACCTGGTTTGGTTACAGTGTAATCTAATAACATTTTGAAAAAGGAATTTCTATCAGGGTCCAAGGATGTATAATTCAGTCTTCAAATATTAATCAATCACCCTGGCCTCTCTATCCTTGATGTATGAAGAAGGGCCATCGTGCTCAAAGGCACCCATTTTATATATATTGCCCCTCATCCGGGCCAGTGCGTTGTTGCACTTGCACTCTGCAATCTTTACGCACCACAGAGAAGCGGCGACTTGCAGCAGCACCACTCATCTTCCCGCTTAGGGATCACAGCCTGCGGAGCTCACACCCCCCAGTGGACAGAGCTTTCAAAAGCTCACCGTGCACCGCGGGAGGGGAGGGGGGGAGGCCGGATACGTGATTTGTGTCAAGTGCGCGGCGCAAGCCATGTGTCTTGCGGTGATGTGCCTCGTTTTGGCCGCACAATCTCGCAGAGCAGGTAGCGCATACTGAAGAGCTGCTCGCCAAAGTCAATAAAGCTTTTAGAGCTTGCCCCGCAACCTTTAGGGGCTACGATGCGTAATGCCGCCACGCACTCGAGTGGGCCGCAACCCGCGGCCGGTGTATTATGCACGGCGCACGAGGCGGGCCGTGTCCGTGCTGTGCTGTGTCCGTGCCTTCTCTGGCAGGAGGATCTCGGAGAGCAGAGAGTGCAGGGTGGAGAGCTCCCGGCCCAGATCAATGAATCCCTCAAAGGTCGCTGCGCTCGGGCTGGACTCCTCGCTGGAGATCTCTCCCAGGAACTGCTTCATGCGGCCCCACTCTTGCTCCAGGAAGCCGTTCATGAACGTCATGTAGTCCTCCTTGTTTCCGAACCTGCAAAGGGAGGACTTTCCTTTAAGACAGAGCCTCGTATTTTTTAGACACATTGAGCAACATCCTACGTTCCTTCAGATAGTATGATGATGCAATATACATATACGGTAATAATTCTAATCATTTTATGAAGTGAGATAATGTGAAAATGTGTGGATAATAGGCTGAATTTATCAGGAAATCTGAATTTAATGGCCATAAAATGACGATTGAAAGTGTCACTTGGCTATATGATTAATGCACTATCTGCATCGTCAAGAATTGTGCTATGTTACATGCACGTGTATAGCCATTTTGTCGATCCACTGCTGGATGAGGGCCACTGCCCACTATGCGTGCTGTGGGGGTTGTTTGACCATACTTCACCTTGCTGATCAGTGGCCATGGACATGGCAGTATTCTACAGTTGCTGCTGTGCCCGCATCCTATAACACCTGTTTTATGCATGGTGGTCATCTAGGTTACTACCTGTCCTGGTTTGACCTGGGCAGTCTGGGAATTGGCACCTGTATTCGAGTGACAGGAATCAATTTGTACTGAGATCCGATACCAGTATTGTTTTCATCTTTATAACTGCAAATTGCACAGTTTTGATGGACAGAGGCTAGGGAATAAATACGTCAGGGCTAGGTCTACATTAGTAGATCTGTTGTATATCATAATCACCATCAACCACTGTCCACGCACTGTTGGATGACGGCCTCCCAGCGTCGTCACCGATCAACGTCACATTGGTGTGGACGTAAGCGAACCCCACGATAGCCCCGAGGCAGGCACACTCACCCGCCGTGAACAAACATGTCACCCACAATTACTGCCCTTTAGTTTTACTCCCTTCTTATTCCGGAGAGTTCACCGGCAATATGCACACGTTCATTCTGGGGCTGGCGAGTGAGCCGCCGGATGGATTGAGGAGTGGCCTCACGGTGAAGGTGTGGAAACGCTGCAGGCGAATGATCGAAGCGGTCAGCGGTGTATTTGCTGTGGTCCACGGTGTGAGACTGGTGACTACAGTCTCACACCGTGGGCTGTTCTTAATTGTCCACCGGTGTAGGAAACAGCCGCATCCCTGCCATGTATGAGGTTCTAAAAGCCCACTGAGCTATGTAGCTCTTTTTCAGAAGCGACCTGGCCACAAATGATAGCTCAAAGAAGTGGCTTGTCACGTAGACATTTATGGCAGCCAAATACTGTAAACACGTGTAGGGAAAAACCGGAGGAGGACCCGGAGAAATGTTCTAATGGGGTTCATCACAGGTCATTGTTTACGGGGCAAATTTAACCGGGAGGTTCTTCTGTGTGGCTGGCAATTTTATATAAAAGCTCATAACGCAACCTCACTCGATAAACATTCCACCCTGCATCGCATTAATAAAGCACCATGCCCATGCACGGTGCACAATGTTGATTGCTGGGTATGTACAGCAATCAACTATACATCAGAGAGGTTCGATATTGCCCTTCACATAACTCATTCCTCTCTGCCTCAGAGCCGCCTGATTTATTGTGGCAGGCGCTGGAAGAGGCTCTGAGCGTGGTAGTGAGCCACCCGTGGGTTATAAGTCATGCCTTGGTAAGAAATATTGTACAGTAACGTGTTTCCATACGGGTAGTATTGAATGACTTTTCCATTCATGCGACTTTTATGAGACCTTTGGTGTTATTTGAGGACAGCGATTGATATGATTACGAGGCCAGCCAGAAAAATTATACTGGCCGATTGGTTTTTACTGTAAATTATATCATTTCACTCTCTTTGCGCAATAAACAGATAGGCTTCTTAGATGTCTTACAATGAGTAAGAAGAAATAATGAAAGCAGCGATTAAATATATTAATTTTCCACTATAAATACGTTCACTCAAAAATGTACCATGTATACTTGATGAAAGGACTTAGCTGGTGCATATCCGGCAACGTTAGGAGACAAAGTTTAATTCTGGTATTCTGTACTGAGCACAGCATTGTGTCCCCGTCTTGTCTTTCTACAACCCCAGTTTACTCTGGGTCAAGATGATGAGCTACTTGAAGGATCGTTTTTGAAGGCAGCAATACAAATAGTTGAAGGACAGTGCATTTAGCAAGAGTGATCTCACTGCCTCTCAATGCTGGCAGAGTGGAACACACAGGGATCAGGGAGTTAACAATAAAGCTGTAGGATGCAGACAAGAACCAGGAGTCACTTGGGCCGGCCGTCTCTGGCGCCGGCACCATGCGTGCACCTTAACCATTTCCCGTTCCGACGACGTACGGGTACATATCAAAACGGAACCGCAAGAAAAGCTGAAATAAAGTAGCTCTATCGGTACCCGAGGCTCCCACAAGGCCAGGCGGGAAGGGCACGTGGCACAGTTTGGCGACAGCTGTTGTAGAGCTGCGGTCGTGTCGCTACGGTTCTCTGCGGTGAGTGCAATGTCTTTAAAAACAACGGTGCTACGCCTATACTCTTTGGTTCTATTCGGTAAAGTCACGTAGGTAAAAAATAAAACAAAAAATCACGACGTTTCGGCCACAACACAAGTGGCCTTCTTCAGGTGAAGGAACAGAACTGTCGAGACGACAGCACTTCAATGACCGCTGCTAAGATTCGCAGCGTCTTTTTAAGCTCGGCGGGAGGAGCAGAGCGCCTTGACAAAGGAGTTTACATATGAAACAGGAGAATTTAGCATTGAAATAGCTGTGTTAAAGCGTTGAAGCAGCAGAGTATTAAAGTCAGCAAACTGGCATGTAACTGGAGGATTAGCATGCTTTTGTTGTGAAGAGGTTGCGGGGGATGGGTCACTGTGTGTGTGCACGCTGAACCGCTTGCACGTTCCGAGATTCAGCGGCGAATGGGGGACCCACCACCCCGCAACTTGCAGACGTCTCGGAACGGGAAAAGGTTAAAAAAGCATCAATTTACACAATTTGTTTTAGTTGTTTTTGGAATAATTTTTTATTTCCATGTCTTCTTCTACAGCTAACATTACTGCAATTAACTGGTCTGGCATTACGCTGTAATTGAAACGATTTTCAGGATGTGCGAATAGTAAATGTTGTTTTGCAGAGAGACTGATGCAAACAGAAATGAACATGAACGAATATCAAAAATCTTTCGATAACTTCGAACATTTCATCGAATATTTTTCGTCAAATATCGCGGATGAAGGTGGTGTCCTCACTGCCAAATCTCTGCGGGGCAAGGGAAAGCAGCTTTGATCAAACATGACAGTTCTTTATTGAGGTTGGCAAGGTAACTTTAATTATAATTTAAAATTAGTTTCCAACAGGTGCTAAAAACTAATAACCCTGTCTAAGCTGGTGGAATACAAAAATAAACCCCCTTCACTAAAACTAAATATATGCAGTAATTGCAGAAGCATAAAAAAAATCTTCACACATTATGTTGCGTTCAGAACTATTTGGGAACATTAATTGAAAATATAAAGGAAGATGTTGGTGCTTATGGGATTTCGATTAACTGAACACGTCCACAGCAAAGTACGGCAGAATAACTGCTGCATGCCCAGGGGCAGAGTTTATTGTAAATATAATAAAACCCTGAAACAGGGTTGGCAGGGTCATTTTAATTATAAATATTGAAATGGAAGGCAAGAAACAACCAACCAACAGCATTAACATGAAATGACCTCGAAGTCGACCGAGTGTGGGCGCATAGCGCCGCTGGTGACCCACTTGGTGAAGTTGGCGAGGTTCTGGACGACCTTGGCGATGAGCGTGAGGGTGCGCGCCGTGCGCTCGTCAGGGTACTCCTGGCTCAGGCCGAAGAGGCTGGGGGACATGATGGCCGGGCACAGGAAGCGCAGGAAGAGCGACGCGCTGATGAGCCGCTCGCTGATCTCCGCTCGGCCCCGCGCCTCGCACAGCCTCCTCCACGACGAGAAGACGTCCCGCAGCTCGGCGGGGAACACGCTGCAGCGCACGCACAGAGACAAAGGTCCCCCGTAGAGCCTTCACGGTTTGTCGGGGCAAGTGATGTTGGCGAGTTGCACCTATGAAGGCCAGGACGACACACGAGGGGGTGGGTGGCCAGCACCACGCCCGGTCGCCTTTGTCTCCCCAGTGGCGATGTTTTTACACACCGCACCAGGTACTCATTTGAATCAGAATTATTGTTGAGACTGGAAGAATCCGATAAGCTATGAAGCTCTTTTTCATATATATCCAGTAGCGGCAGGTCAGAAAGGACTGTCGCTGATGTGACCGTGAGCAGGAATCGAACTTGGGTTGCCGGGTTCGTAGCGCAGCACGTCAACTGCTTCCCGACCACACACACATTCACGCAGGGCAAGAGTATTCGTGAACACCGAACTCTGCACTGCACACAGTGAGAGGACACACTCCACCACAGCTCAGTAATCACGATACATTTCAAACCGAACAATCATAACATGTTACCTGGATGTCAATATACATTGGACACTGTGGTGTGGCCACATACATTTCCTGCACCCACCTCCGATTGGCACGGTTTGACTACTTATGGTGAAAAATTATTTAAACAGAGCATACGTACACATGCACGGGCGCAACGACCCTGCACAACTGCACGATGCCCCTCTGCTCGATTCCGCCACCTGGCTGGGCCGTGTGTCGGCTCCACGGCCAGGCCCAGCGGCGCCATGGGTGGAGCACGAAACTCAGAACTCTGCTTGGGCTTCGACTCAGCCCATCGTCCCTCCGGGGCACGACAACGAGGTTGGTCCTCATCATAAGAACGTGGGAATTTCCATCGCCGGCTCAGGGCCCAAACAATGAAGACAAGCGCTACCCCACGGTCATGCAAGCGTGGAGACTTTGGCCTGACCGACTTGTCCATCGGTTGCTTGGAACCAATTCTCATTGGCATGCGGGGGTCATGTCGAGCTGTCGGGGAGATTGACATTCCGCATGCACCCGTGCCTCATTGGTATTTGGTGTTTATTTGGATTCACTGAGCACCCAAACAAGAGGTAGCCAAAATAAGGCCCCTCACTCCCTTGTTGTATCCTGCCTCTGTTGAAAAACATTGCCAAATTTCATTCACTGCCACGGTTTCCGGCTCTCTCTTTCTCGTTTACCGATTGCCTTGCGTTATAGGTATAGGGTCCATAATGCTTCTGCATACTTTTATATCGCATGATCGCTCTTTTGACACATCATGGTAAAGTGAGGGTACTCCCACTTCCTCCAAGATGTCCAATCAGCAAGGAAGTATCAGCCAACTAACCTCTAGGAGGCGCTCTCTCGAGCGATCTCGTGGAGGCCCTTCTGCCAGCGGTGGCGTGAGCAAACTATTGCAGGGCTGCGCCTTCACCTGCTGTAAAAAAATGTAATCCCTTTATTAAGTCGCCATTTATGTTTCTGCCAAAAAAAATTAAAAAGCCAAGAGCGTGCATTAAATGTGTGCGGGGTTGGTGCCTAGATCTGACTGCTGTGCAAATCACATGAGCCATTCGCCTTGCAGGCATTTACTGAAGATGGTGCATGTGTTAAACATGGTTTGGTGTAGATTGAACGCGAACATTTGCAGTAAAACCGTACTTGGCCCAGAATGGAAATAACCATTCGGAATTAATGGCTGCAATGAGACGCTAATCACGTGACGGTCACTGGCTCATGAGTTCACATGCAAGTATCAAAAAGCACGTGTGAAAATTAATAACGCAACAATTTAAAAGAAAATGGTGAAAGTTCGTCGTTATTAACTGCCTTTGCAAAGCAAACGTCACCAAGTGTGGGTCCCTTGCTACGCATCTCTTCATCGTGATGCAGTGATGTGTTGGGTGTCCTGCTAGCCCACCCGTGACATTAACACATCACTTGCATCGATTGAAAAGTGCCGAATCCATCAACAGCTATGACCTACCCACTGCTGGATGAAGGGTTCCCCACGAAATCTCCATCCCGCATGGTGCCGCGACGCCGGAATCGATCTTCCAGAACTTGTGGCTCCATCTCCCCGGTGGCCGTACTCTTTGGCGTGCGCTCCCCTCTCTAGGCTGCCGCTCCATCGCCCGTCCCATCTCTCACTCTTATCTTAACGAAATTTATGTATTTACAGAGAATTAACAACGGTACAGGGTGTTAATGTAAAGGTGGCGATGAGGTAAATGAAATATGACGAGAGGAATCAATGGGCAAATATATAATCTGTGATGCGTGAATTCGGTGAGAGCGAAACTGATGGAGTAAACAATGATGAATGGATTGAATGAACGGGGAATGAGTGAAAGCCGTGTAATGATAATATGAAGGGGGAACAGTAACGGTGGCGGTTGTGAGGGGGAGATTAAGAGGTCGTGGGGTGAGCAAGGGAAAATAAGTGAGTTTTGAGTGAGGAGCGGAAACTTGTGAACGAAGGCGACTGCTTAATGTGGAGGGGGAATTTTGTTCCAGTGAAGGGGGGGACAAGAAGAGAACAAGAGCGAAAGCGTGGATTGAGCGCAAGGAGGAAGAGGAACAGAGAGAGCGAAGATTGAGAACGCGATGCGTCCTGGGTGTTGCTCCCTCTCTTAGCTGTCACTCCATCGCTCATCTCCCACTCACAATACCACCTGCTCATGTTGCGTCTTGCCCAAGCCTGCTTCTTTCTCTCAGCGTTCAACAGGATGTCTCTAATTCGTGTTTGTGCTCCGATCCATTGATTCCTCCCCCCGTCTCTCAGCATGCATGTCTCCGCGCTGATTTGGGTAATTTCCCCATTAAGTTAAATTTTCTTGTTTCATCGTTTACACGCCAGCTTCTATGCACGTATTGTGAGCCTGAAGAATGAACGTGAATTGTTATGCATGTTTACCCACAAAAGCCTCACAAAGTCTCAACACTCCGTTTCAGGAAGGTCCTGTCAAGTTTTCACAGTAGGAGGCAATGTTGCCATATACATAAAAATCCCAATTGATTGGTAATATTTATACATTGCAATGTTTGGGCGATAGCAGTTACACTGTATGAGGTTTTTTGTTGTTGTTTAGCCTAGAGAGGAAACCGGAGAACGTGGAGAAATTCCATGCACTACAGGGGGAGTACATGCAAGCTCCACACAGGCTAAATCGATGCATCATTACAACAAGGGGAGCACATGCAAGCTCCACACAGGCTAAATCGATGCATCATTACAACAAATTGTAAATGTTGTAGATTTGCTCTCGAACACACCGGGATGCTGTACTAGTAGTCAAGTGGCATGTTCTGTTTACATGACAAACCTTACTAATTAGCTGTGTCGGGTGGTGGCGGGTTTAACCACACATTTATACATGTGTAGAGGTGTTAACTACTCACTGTTCGGTAACCTGCATTGCCACTAGGTATCAAAGGGGCAGTGCAGCGTTACCTCTGTGTGAATAACGGTTGGGGTCAGACGACGTGAACTGGATCGTAGCCACAGTTTGGTAAGAACCAATCAGACAGTTCCAAGTGGGAATGTGGGATTGGTTAGACCTGGCCACAAACGGGTATAGGAAGGGTGAGCGCACAGAGCGCGGAGAGTTCTCTCCCTACACCAAGACCGAAGCCCGGGCTGAAGATAGCCAGGACCCTGGACCCAGCCTTCCAGCCCTTCTGAGGGCTAAGGCTCGGCGTATCCAGTGGTCAAGACCCGCCGGGCCAGCGGTGGGTCAGATAGCCTCCCCTAGGTCCCAGCCGGAGGACTCTAGGATAGCGGTAGACGTGTGAGTAAGCCCCGCCAAGATAGGAGGCTGTACCTCCTTAGGTTAGGAAGAGACCTGTGTGTAGGTCACACTAAGTCCGGAGGCTGTACCTTCTTATGGTATAGGGTGAGGGGACCGTATACCCCTCTGTGTGTTAAGGACTGTGTAAAGAGAAGTATTACAATAAACAGAGTGTGCCTCAAGAAGTTTATTCGTCATGGTAAACACTACACATGCGATCTAACCCACAAACCTATATTCTGGATATTGGTCGCGCACACAAGTGTTTTATAGATGTACTGGATGTAAACAACGTGTACGAATGTGGGTGGCCCTGCGTATGTGCCTGGGTGTACAGTGAGGGAAAAAAGTATTTGATCCCCTGTTGACTTTGTACGTTTGCCTACTGACAAAGAATTGATCAGTCTATAATTGTAATGGTAGGGTTATTTGAACAGTGACAGAATAAGAACAAAAAAAATCCAGAAAAACGCATGTCAAAAATGTTATAAATTGATTTGCATTTATATGAGGGAAATAAGTATTTGACCCCTCAGCAAAACATGACTTAGTACTTGGTGGCAAAACCCTTGTTGGCAATCACAGAGGTCAGACGTTTCTTGTAGTTGGCCACCAGGTTTGCACACATCTCAGGAGGGATTTTGTCCCACTCCTCTTTGCAGATCTTCTCCAAGTCATTAAGGTTTTGAGGCTGACGTTTGGCAACTCGAATCGTCAGCTGCCTCCACAGATTTTCTATGGGATTAAGGTCTGGAGACTGGCTAGGCCACTCCAGGACCTTAATGTGCTTCTTCTTGAGCCACTCCTTTGTTGCCTTGGCCGTGTGTTTTGGGTCACTGTCATGCTGGAATACCTATCCACGACCCATTTTCAATGCCCTGGTTGAGGGAAGGAGGTTCTCACCCAAGATTTGACGGTACATGGCCTCGTCCATCGTCCCTTTGATGTGGTGAAGTTGTCCTGTCCCCTTAGCAGAAAACACCCCCAAAGCATAATGTTTCCACCTCCATGTTTGACGGTGGGGATGGTGTTCTTGGGGTCATAGGCAGAATTCCTCCTCCAAACACGGCGAGTTGAGTTGATGCCAAAGAGCTCCATTTTGGTCTCATCTGACCACAACACTTTCACCCAGTTGTACTGAATCATTCAGATGTTAATTGGCAAACTTTAGACGGGCATGTATATGTGCTTTCTTGAGCAGGGGGAACTTGCGGGCGCTGCAGGATTTCAGTCCTTCACGGCGTAGTGTGTTACCAATTG